TCTAATTAAAGAGTTCACAAGGTTTCCACTCATATATATATTTATATATAAATATATACACAGCATTCAGTCCTAGGTTTGTGTCAAAAAGGTAATTTCTGACCACAGACTTTCCTAAAAAACTGAACACTGGATCCTTCTGGTACTCACGCTCCACCTTTGGAAAAAAAGGCAAAGTCTGGTTTAAAATGGGCAACTCCTTGTGAGATTTTTGCTTCGCTCCCCACGTTGGGAATAGTATATAAAGGAAGCCTTCCAACTAGGGAAAGGGTATTTAAGAGTCTCTTCATAAATAACTAGGTTCAGTCCAAGTTGAAGAATGGGGTGGGGATAAAGATCAATCTTGATTTTTTTCTTCTTTATTAATTTTAAAAGGTCCTTTTAGTTAGATGTGGATTTTCCCCTCCAGATACAGCTGAAAAATAAATTCAGCACCGCAAAAAAAAAATCCTGTAGACATTTTCTTGTGCAAAAAAAAAAACCTCAGTGGAACACCTGCAAGAGATTGAAAAGAGGCATATTTAGGAGAATGCTAACAGGGCAGAGATCCGGACAGACTGGCGCCAGAGAGGAAGCCACAGTTTGAACATTTAACCAAACACTCAGAGATTGGGCAAACCCTGGCGTCCAGATGCAACACATACACACTCACACACTCGCTCTCAAGAACACAAATCGAACATTAAAATAACATACACTCAAGGGAAAGGGTAGAGAGATGATTCTTAGTCCAATCTCTATTTAGATCTCTGTAAATGCAATGCTTAGAGGCGCCAGTATGCCTCTTACAGCAATTATTTGATTAAAAGCAGTTACTTATTTAGCTGATAGCGCAGACAATCCCACATCACAGCATTTAAGGAATTGTGCCAAGATTCCCAACTTAATCAGTCACTTTGGCGCAGGAAGTTAAGCCTCCAAGAACAGATAACGAGAGAATTTGCATTAACCAGGGAGCAGTACGAGTGCAGCCTGATGAACCTTAGCAACAAAACACACTTTGGACTGTAGGACTCAGTTACCAGTCTAATTCCTTACTGATTATAAAGGCATCTTCTTATCAACTTTTAGGGCCGACTTTTAGAAAAAACCATCACGCCTCCCATTCCCCAGAGAGGCACTTTTTACCTGAAGTTTAGACATAAGACACGCTGCACTCACCGTTTGATTCAGCCACAAAGTGCTTTGCTGTCGCTTGACGTGAGCTCTGAGGGGAACTCGGACGCCTGCGAGGAGAAAACACCACAAGGGTAAGGGTGAGGTGCCCCCGCACTCGGGGCGGCAGGAGAAAGCTGTCCTGCATCCCGCAGGGCTTCACCCGCGGCACGTCTGGCTACAGACCCCGCCAGCGGGGGGAGAGGTGGCCGCGTCCCCTAGCACTGTCCCCTCGGTGACCACCGCGCCCTGCATTAGAGGCACCTCTAGCACCGACTGACGCCCCGATCCAGGTCAGCGGAGAGCCGGGGAGCGCGGGGCGAGGCGCTTACCTGTAGCGAGAGGATGCTGATGTCTGTGTTTAGGGTGGTCAGAGGAGTTCTGGAGGAAGGGTTTTGCCCGGGTCTCTGGTGGTGGAGGCTGACGATGCTGGGGTGCGAGTCCAAGGCGATCTGCAGGTCCAGGATGTAGTCGATAACGTGCTGCAGGATTTCCATCTTGCTCACTTTCTTGTTCTGCGGGATGCTGGGCACCAGCTCTTTCAGCTTGGAGTAGCAGTCATTCATGTTGTACAGCAGGCTCATGGGGTCATCCACGGGGGTTTTGCTCCGGGAGATGCCCAGGTTGTGCTCCGAGAGGCCGTTTTTTCTGACGGACCGCACCGGGCTGAAGGCTTTCATGCTGGAAGGCGGGCGG